TTAAGATAACGAAGAGTACATGCAACCGTTTGAAATTGTTGACTAGTGCAGTGTCCTTTACCTGATCCTTATTTAAACCGAACTATGATCCTTGCTGTTATGTCATCCATTCTGCGAAATTTCAAACGGCTGCATGTCCTCTTCTTTCTCTTACGTATGCAGCGACAAGACGCAGCTGAAGAGCTGTCATGAAATTTATTGGAGCCAATAAATTCTGCCGTATATGTGTGTTTTAAATTTGTACCGGGGAACAAATACTTCAGATATGCAGTACACTTCGGAGACCTGGGATGCTGTTAGATATACCAGCAGTGCAAGTGGTAGTAGGAACCATATTATAGTCCACCAAACCGGCTACATAGCCACGCATCGACAGAGAGCTTTCTTTCTGTGTATGGTCTGTCGTCAGGCTATTTACCATGGCACTGACACCAGCTTCATTTTGCAGTGTACTGAGGGTGTTCACGTGTGATGGTTCACTGTAAAATGCTCGCATGTGACACCTGTATGCACTTTTCTGCATTCTAAAATGTTCTTCCGGTGGTTTACTACTTGCTTCCTCATGCCATCATATTGGACGTGAGTTGTCCTCCCACAACTGCGACACATTTTGTCCTGGATCTGCAGACCCTGGGTGCTCTTGCATCGACAGAGCGGAAAGAGTTAATGTCTTTCAACAGGAAGCCACCTTTGCGTATAATATTATTTCAAGAAGTTTCTAATGGTGCGTAGCAAGAAATTGTTCCTGTCGGTACCGTTAGCAGCTAAATAGCCCGTCCTAGGGGCCTGGATAGTTGCCCTTCGGTCATGTAGAAATGCGGTTCAATCGTGACGTGTCAAGGGATAAACCTGTAAGGTGGCTTGCTGGACGAAGGATGACTTTCTGTAGTTCCTTAACTCCTAGCTGATCGTATCCATCTACCCCACTTGACTAACTATTCTGCCGGATGACACCTAAATTTTTGTGCGGCGGAAAGCAATCACTCATTTAATTACCTTGATAACGGATTTTCCAGGCCAGTGTTCTGTCATGACAACCACCGAATAACCATTCGCTGCTTTCCATTGGCCAAACTTGGCAGTTTGCTTATTTTGCAGCTCTTCGTAGTTGAATACCGCCCCACTACCCTCTGTGGCGTGCTCATAGCCAGGCTAACACAGGCCCGGTCTTCTGCAGAGAGTCACGGTCGTCAGCGCCGCCGCTGACTCATGTTGTCTTCGCATGTCAACCCTTATGTACCCGCGTGTGACAACCTCAGCCACGCGCGTGAGTAAATACTGGCTTTGTGATATCGTGACGTCAATCGATATTTTTCTCTTCATCAGTGGATTGCGGTCGCCCACACTTCACATCTGGATGAACAAACAAAGCGGCTGTCATTCTGATGAATATCACGGTCGCAAGCGCCGCTGCTGACTCATGTTGCCTCCGCCCACGCGCGTGACTAGATCTTTTGTTTGCGCTATCGTGACGCCGATCGATAATTCTCTTCATTCATTCAGAAGAAGTGCCCACTAGGAGAATATTTTTATTGTCCTGACGTTTCGGATTCTGTCGCCAACGTTGCAAAGCCAACTCCCAGGTTGCAGCTCACTCAACGGCACCCGGCCATATTTTCCAGTTTGACGAGGCCGAAATCTTCGCAAAAGGTGACACCGCGTGGGCCGCGAGCTCCTCGAGTCATGGTTCTCAGGCCTCCAGTCCATCAACAAGCGCAACGATTTGGCGTTATACAGTGTACTGAGAACTTCCCTGAGCACGAGAATCAGTCACAACAACTCGGACGACAACGGGCATAATTGTCGCGCAATTATCAAGCCCGCATCCGACGCGGACGAGAACATTGTGGCAATAAATTGGCCATCACCGCACCAATTAAGACCTCAAGCGGTGCCTATAGGAACTTACAATTATAGTACACATGCGGATGACTGCTATGAACTATAAATACCGTGCAACCTGTGCATGTATCACCCTTATCTGCGCATG